GGCTGCTGTGCCCGGGGCTGGGCTCCCCGCTCCCGGGTGGCTGCTCTGCCCAGGGCCGGGGGTCCCTCGACCCGCGGGGGTCCCCACTCCCCACCCCGCTGCCAGGCAGAGCCGCTCTTTGTCTGCGACCGGCGCAGAGCTCATTGTCTCCAGCCCCTCCGCAGTGCGCAGGGAGCGAGGGCGGACACGGGGCCGCACTTTCGGGCTCTGGGCTGCCCGAACCGGGCCCCCTGGGCGCTCAGGAACTCCAGCCCCAACAAATCCCGGGGCAGGGGAGGAGGCTGGAGGGTGCTTCTGGATGCAGAGAGATGCCCCTCGAGGGAGTTGTGCTGGATGAGCACCAAACCCTGGGCCAGGGATCCAAAGTTGGGGTGGGGAGGGATAGTCCTTGGGAAAAGCTTCTGCAGCATTTGGCACTTTCCCCAGCACTTGGGAATGGGAGGGAGCAACCCCCAGGGCATTACTCTCCATTGATCGGTCTCTTCCATGGCATTTTGCAGGATCTTGTGAAAAATCATCTGATGTACGCTGTGCGGGAGGAGGTGGAGGTCCTGAAAGAGCAAATCAAGGAACTGTTGGAGAAAAACTCCCAGCTGGAGCGTGAGAACAGCCTCCTGAAGACCCTGGCCAGCCCTGAGCAGCTGGAGAAGTTCCAGTCCCGGCTCCCAGCAGAGGTGCTGTGCCCTGAGGAGCAGAGCCCCGGGGTGGCTGCCCCGGCCCAGCGCTCCGGGGGCTCTGCGGTGTAAGGTGGCTCTGTCCTCGGGGTGGGCAGAGCCACAGAACTCTTTCTACTTAATCTCCTGCAAAATCGTTTCCGCCTTCATCTCACACGAAGGACTGCCAGAGCCTGGCACTGAGCCGCGCCCCTCGGGCAGCCCTGGCCAGCCCGCAGAGCCAGCGGCTGTCTCCTTCATGAGGATGCTCTTCTTCAAGGAAGACAGGGGCAGCTGACCCCCCCTCCCCACCCAGCCGCCCAGCAGGTGCCAGGAGGAGATCTGTGGAAGCCGTCGCGGGCTGCGGAGCGGGGCTGGGCAGGCTTTGGCACCGTGCTGGTAGCCGGCAGTGGGAAGGAGCGCGCGCCAGGCCGTGGTTGCGCTCTGCAGGGGGGTGTCTCTTTCTGGCAAAGCCCGACATTGGAGGGAGACCGATGTTTAGTGAGTGAAGCAGATGTGTCCCACGAGCCACCCAAGAGCCTGCTGGAACTCGAGCCAGACTGAGCAGCACTGGGGGTGGCAGCTGCAGCGTAGACCGTGGCTGAACGCACAGCAGTGTGGGGATTACAAGGAGAAAAAGCTTGTTTTGTTAGTTTGGGCATCTTGTGTAGCCGTATCTGTGTACAAACACGCGCACCAGAGGTGCCTCCGAGGCCGCGGGGTGCCCGCTCTGGCTCAGCCGTGCCCACCTGAACAGCTGGGGCATCGGAAGGCAGGCTGGAATGGTGAGCGCCCGTCAGTGGGCACACAGCTATTGCCAGTGGCACCAGGGAGGGGACAGACTCGCTCCTCTCTGGCATCCCACCTGACAGAACTGTGCAGCAGCGCTGGGAGGATCTGGACTGACTACTGGGCAGAGCCACAAGCCAGGCTGTGCTCTAACCCACTAAGGTGGAGGAGCCAGCCCGTGCCCCGGGGCTCCCCTCTGTCCCTGGCCTTTCCCTGGGATGTGACGGGACATTGCTTTTGATGTCAGAAGCGGTGACACTGTTGTGTAAATCTAGATAGAAATGGCAATAAACTCTACTTTTTATATATACCTGCACTCCAGGCGTTGTCTGTGTCTGGGAAGAGAGGGGAGAGTGATGGCACTGGGGAAGAGGCTGGAAATTGCTGAAATGGGACTGGTGTGGATACTGGGCTGGTGCTGTTTCCCAGCTGGGAAAAGCTGGCAGTTCCCCACCTTTGCAGGAGGGGATAGTTCCGCCTAGATGGCCCTGGCTGAGCCAAGATGGGTTTTTGGAGATATGAGCAGGTAGCCTGTTCCCAGGGGTAAGGAAGAGGTAGGGGAAAGTGCTGTGAATCTGCAGGTCTCTGTCCCCTGTGTCACACCTGTGCAGGGCAGACTTAGCAGCATGAGCAGAAAGGAAGCTCTTCTCAGGCTGTGTGGAGCTGTATGTACCCTCAGCTCTGCTCTTCCTCTGGTGTTTTTGTTCTTACAGCCATCACTGATATTTTTTGTTTGTTTGTTTTTATTTGTTTTTCATTTTGGGCCATCTTAAAATATGAGAATAAGGATGGGTCATCTGGATTGGACAGTACTGGACAGGGATGGGGAATGCCCCAACCCTATCCTAGGGCACAGCCAGCTTTTGATTCAACCCCAGGGGCTATGTGAGGGAGAGCGAAAAAGCCCCGATTCCTCTATTCCTGGGGCTGCTGATGGCTAATACAGGTTAAACCTGGAGGTGTTTGTGCAGAGCCCCAGGCTGGCAGGACATTTGAAGCAAGGTGCAGTATTCCCCGCCAGGGTTTCCTATTGGGACAGAACTCCTGGGCCAGCCAGAGCCATCCTTGGGCCGGGGGAGCAGGCAGTGGCCACAGCTGTGCTGCAGCAGCCCAGCTCCACACGGTTTCATGTCTCTGCTGTGGTGAGGGCAGCTCAACCCCAGCCCTGTGTGAGTCACAGCCGATCTGGGGGTGGTTGGTACCCTGGAAACGCTGGGTAAACATCAAAACACAGGCCACGGGGGCTTGAAAGCATTATTGGGTGGCTTTTTCCTCTCCGTCCTGTCTGTCCCAACACGGTGACCCCACAGCAGCCTTGTGCAGGCAGCCCTGCAAGTGCTCCAGTGCAAGGGCACACACATGTGCCTCGTGAGTACGTGTGTGGTGTCTTTCCCTGTGTGTCTGATGATTTTTCGTGTGTGTGTGTGTAAACAGGCTCAGGCCCCCCTACCATGTACATCCCCTGCACACACAGGCACTGCAGCAGCCTGGGGGGGACACACACAGCGGTCCCCCAGTGCTGCCAGCCTCTCAGGCTTACAGCTGCTCCAGGAGGAGCTGTTCCAGGGGGCAGCTGGATGCAGCTGTGCTTGCCCTGGCCAGGTCACTACGGTGGGTGTTGGGGGTGCTGGGAAATGCTCTGGCCATCCTTCTGGCCCCTCTCGGCTGGGGAAGCTTTGGGCTGCAGCAATGAGCTCTGTTCTAATCGCACCCCTCAATCCAGCCGTGTTCAAGGGGTGCAGTGATGGTGTTGGCAGTCCTGTTTGCTGCCTCTGCCCGTCCTCTGTCCCCCTCCCCGCAGCCTTGGGGTTCCACACAGCACGGAGGCACTCGGGGACAGGCTGTGGCAAAACCCGCTCCCTGCAGCCACCAGCCTCAAAGCACTCGCTGCAGAGCTCAGCCTTGCTCCCACGGGGAGGCAGCGCCTTTCCTGCAGCGTGCTGTGACAAAGTGCCAGCCAATGGCACCGGGCAGCCCTTGCAGAGCCCCCAGCTGCCCCGCGGTGCCCCGGGGGTTAAGGCACCCCTGGCCCCCCGTGTCTCACAGCCCAGCCCCGGACCCACCCCAGGGGCTCAGCTCGGGGCCGGGACACGGAGAAGGGCTGGGGGTGGGTGCTGCTGCAGGGGCTGGAGGACAGGTAGGTGCTGCTCCGTGCAGCGAGCGCAGGAGAGCAGCAGCCTGGGACGGGCTTTGGAGCAGCACAGCGAGGGCAGCAGGATTTGAGGGTCTGCCCAAGGGTCAGGATATAGGAGAGACACCCCCAGCCCTGCATGTTCTCACTCCTTCACCGGGTTCTCTTGGGGAGATTCCACTCCAGCCAGGCAGAAGGGCCTTATGCAACATCCCTCCCTGCGCCTCAAACCCTCTGTGCCTCCCTGCTCCTCAAATCGAACACCATGTCCCAGCCCAGCCCAGCCCTGCGGGAGCCTTGCAGACAGATGCATGCGTGGGATTTTCCACACAGTCCCTGGTGCCTATGGATCCAGATCAGCCCAGCACAGCTGCCCAGGGCCAGCTGCAGGCCTGGGGACCCTCTCAGGATGGGAAGCTGTGCTGCACAGTGGAGGCTCCCACTGGAGAGTGGCACAAGCTGTGATGCCAGCCCTGAGCAAGCTGCAGCTCGGTGCCATGGGGCTGGGTGCATGGTGGGAGCAAGAAGCAGCCAGAGCCCACACAGGCAGCCAGGGTGCTGGGGCTCTGTGTGCAGCAGCCTCCCAGGGTGCTGCACTAGCACTCCATGAGCACTGGGACCCCCCATCTGGGACAGCTGGAGAGGGAGAGATGCAAGCGTGACGATGCACCAGCAACAAGCCAAGCTTGCAGAGCCCATGCCCCAAGAACTCCTGCAGCAGGGTGGGTGGGGTGTGCAGAGGGGGTGCACCAGAGCTGAGGGTCCTCATCTAACCTGTCTCCTTCCCTGCAGCTCAGCCACCCTCCTGCTGTGCCTCAGTTTCCCCTCTGTTCCTGTCCCCTGGGAAGGGAGTTTCTCCAAGGCAGGGTCAGGCTGAGAGCCTAGCATGCCTCCAAGCAGTCCCAGCTGGGTGAGAGGTTTCAGGCCTCCATGGCAGGCAGGCGCAGCCCCAGGCAGAGGAACGGGGGCTGTTCCCAGCACACGTGCATGCCAGGAGCTGCTGGCAGGGCTGCCCACCACAGGCATGCTGCAGCCGTGCCCTTTGCCAGCTCTGCCAGCCCACGGGCACCTGTAGGGTAGGGGCAGCACGTCCCAAAACGGCACAGGCAGTCCTTGCTGCTGTTGTGCCGGTGCCATGCCATCCTTACGTAACCGGGGAGCCAGCCCAGGCCTGTGCCCTCTGCTTAGGGCTGGGACAGGACCCAGCAGTGCCAGCCGCCAGTCCCCGCAGGGCTTTTGGCCCCATCACAGGTCACAGGGCTGTCCCCCTCCCAGGAACAGCTCCAACCCCTGTCCCCCCACAGCCCCAGCGGGCCGGGGACCCACCGGAGCCAGCCCAGCCGGGCGCAGAGGGCAGCGGCTGCCGGTGCCCAGGGCTCAGTGTCGGGGTGGGGGCCGGTGCTCAGATGGGTACGTAGTGTTCCCAGCGGGCTGTGTCCCCGGCACCCTGCCCTGACAGCCACAGGCAGTTGTTGGTATCAGGAAGTGAAACAAACAGCAGGCAGTAACCTGGCAGCGAGACCGCAGCCGCCTCGGTGTGCTCCACACTCCTGCCGAGACCTCAGCACCGCCAGCTGCCCTTGGCACAGCACCTCTCCCTGCCCTCAGTACTGCTGGGGATGCCTAAGGACAGCAGCTGGCTCATTCTCTCAGTCCTCAGGTATCCTTCCTGTGTCCTCCTGTGCTGCAGGATGAGTTTTCCCATTGGGAAAAACAAAAATAATGCCATAGTTTGTGGCTGCAGCTGTGTCCCCAGCCTGGTCAAGTCCTGTGGGGGGAAAGGCCTGTTAGCCAGGCCAGTTGCAATAGGACAAGGGGGACAGAGTTAGACTGGATATAGGAAAGGAGTTTTTACGATGAGGATGGTGAGGCCCTGGCACAGGGTGTCCAGAGAAGCTCTGGCTGCCCCTGGATCCCTGGCAGTGGCCAAGGCCAGGTTGGAGGGGTCTTGAGCAGCCTGAGATGGTGGAGGTTGTCCCTGCCCATGACAGGAGGGTGGAATAGATGACCTTTAGAGGTCTCTTCCAACGCAAACCCTTCTGGGATTCTTTGATTCAATGACTCTTTGGTCTGGTTGGGTCCAGCTGTCCCTGCAGGTCCCTGCCTGTGGCACGAGGGTCTCATGCTTCTGGGAGCCATGACATGCTGGCTGCCCTTTCATCCCCACCCAGCTGGAGAAAGGGTAGCCCAGTGAGGAGCCATCTGCCCACATTCTGCCATGGGTCAGCACACAGGGAGCCACAGCTTTGTGCCCATGCTGAGGTGGCTTTGTGTGTAATCCTCTGGACAGACACTCCCCAGGGCTGGGACAGCTGTGGGACCTGCTGTGGCAAAAGGACTTCAGCTTTCCAGGTAGAAACAAGGCCAAACAGCCCCAAGGAGACAAGCTTAGAGGAGGAGAGAAGAGGGGAGGGGATGGAGTAGGGAGGATTGTGTTGGGGAAAGGCAGGAGATACTGTCGAATTACAGCACCAAAGACAGAAGTTGCTGAGGCAGCTGGAAAACAGGTGGGTCATGCAGGAGGGTGACAAGAGTGCAAAAGACACAAACAACCTGAGATGCCTCCTGCCTGTCCATGCCAGAGCCAGCACTACAGCTCTTAGGAGGTTAATGGGATCATTAGTAGCGATAAGGAGGCAGCTAAGCAGTAAAATGTTCCCGAGAAAGTGAACTTCCTCATTCCAGCCAAGAAAGGGAGATTGGTTCAGAGCAAACAGCACCAGGATAAACAACTCAATTAGAAACAGCAAGTTCTCGAACCCAGACAAACAACCCAGACCCGGAAGGTTTCATGTGGGAAGAGCCGCACTCGGAGCAAACATTTCCCCATGGGACTGCCACTTAATGAATGAGCACTTGGAGTTACAGAAGGTGCCAGGGATTAACTGGGATTTAGGGGCCTGGGGGACCTGGCCAATTTGCTTTAATTGATCATTAGAAACACCATAATCCCCAGGAAAATCAGTGTGGGAAATCTGGGCGCCAGGCTTCAGACTTTGCTGGGACTTACAAGAGGACACGAGTCACAAAGGGGTTGCCTCCAATCCAGAAGGCTTTGCAAATGAGTGGCTTGTCTTGTACCTGACCCTCCTGGGGCTGCCCATGGCCTGCCTCAGTCCCCAGCTGCCTGCCTGGTGCCCTGCCTGCAGAAGCAGCTGCCCACACTGCCTGGCTCCCAG